GCCCTAAACCCACCAAGGCTCTTGCAGGCTACCATTAAAGACAAAAAGCCTTAATTGGCTATGTCTGCGGTAAACATCATGTCACAGGTGATATAATTAGGTAAATGATCAATTAAACGTGACAATTCAAATTTTGACACTTATTTATTGACTTCCAAAGCTACCTTACCAAATGTAGCAACTTTTTGAAATTTTTAAATAAAATAAATTATAATTTGAAAACGGTTGATGTCACAGCTTAAAGTGTAAATTCAAATTTGTAACTTTGTAAATTGTCTATCTAATGACGTATTAATATACAGGTACTTCCATTTAAAAAACAAAAGTTGTATTGCGTTAAAAAGTTTTAGATTGAAGTCCACATGGTTAACACCCCGTAGAATGTATTGATATTTTCGTTTAATAGAATTCTTAACGGATCTGTGGTGATTGGAAAGACGTATTTTCTTGTATCTTTAATTGCTTTTTTTGCTTCTAAAATGAATTTTTAGTACCATGTTTTTAAGAAAAAAATTACTAAAATGGCGATAATCTGCCAACGTCGCAAGTAAGAAAAAAAAACAATTTACGGAGCATATGCAGCGTTTCAAACTGCATTCCATGAGCTATTAAAAAATTGGGAGTTCTATTTAAAAAAATACACTTTGATCTTGCCTCGCTTTTCTGAGACTGAGACTCTGTATCATATAAGATATTTTTAAAATGTGCGCACTTTGTGCGTCAACAACTTTTATGTGAAACTATTTTTCGAAAGTTCAACACCATCGGAAATAATGGACTCTATCGCACTAAAAAACCACCCTGTATTTTTGTTGATAGGAAATCCCACTCCGTTGATCTTGCTCGTGTAGTTTCCTCTATAGTAAGCGTATGGCCATTTTGTAATGTGATGCAAACTTCTCTATTCCTTCTAATTTCCGGGAATCCGACTATATGCCAGTTTATATCTGTTAGCTTTTAATCCAGCTCTATTATCCTGTCGTTAGTGGATAGTGTTCTTACGTTGAAGGTGGTTCTGTACATAGTTTTTGTCTTTGTGCGGTTTCTGTTTTTACATATTCCAGCCAACGTCGAGCTCTTGCCTCCCCCATAATCCGTAAAGCAGACTGTATTCACAGTGCGAGATTCGGAGACACTACTAGCTAGTAGAGCTACTACTCGCCTGGGGTTTACATTTCATAGGGGGTACAGGCCGATGAACTCACCGGTAAACCGGCTCGGGCATTCCCATATCTGCCCCTTAGGGGTTCCACTCCCCCGAGGGCCATGAGGATTATTCTCTTGGAATACCAAAAATTTGTGGCCATCACCTTTCCTGCCGATGGTCCCATTTGCCTTCTTCGCATCAGATTCACCCCGCAAAATCCATTGTTTTGACTGTCGCTTGGTCTCTGCCGTATAATAATGGATCCAGGTTCTATTAATGGTGACGACTCGACGCCAAAACTCCTGTGAATTTTCATTTCATTTTTTTCATTTGAACGACACGCCTACGGCCTCTGCTACTTCGCGCACTTTGGTTCGGCGATCAGCGGGAATCATGTCCTGGATCTTTTTAATCTGTCCAAGACTTTCAAATATTTTATTTGATTCTGTCCGTTCCCAAAATTAAATTCCCTTCTTCTCACCTGTATAAATTTTGGTGTGACGGCAAGGTTCTTGCATCTGGTGTATAAAATATAAATGGGCAGAGATAAAAGAACATACAAAATTACCCGAAAAATAATTTATTGAGGCGGTAGAATTGTGCTTAAAATCCACATATTTCCAGTACGAAAACAAGTTCTATTCACAGATATATGGAGTAGCAATGGGTTCTCCCATAGCAACAATTGCAAATTTGGTAATGGAAAATTTGGAAGAACAAATAATATCTAAATTAAAGTATAAGTGTGAATTTTTTAAACGATATGTGGATGACTGCATAATGTGCCTCCCAAAAGACAAAATTCAATATACACTAGATAAGTTTAATGCCTTTCATGACACCCTAAAGTTTACTCTCGAAGAAGATAAAGGAAATTCTATAAACTTTCTAGACCTAACAATTAATTATGATAACAACGGGGAAATCAAAACAAATTGGTACACAAAGGAGGTATGGTCTGGTAGGTACCTGAATTATCAATCGTACGCTCCAATGAAATATAAAAAAGTGCAATAACGGCACTTACAGATAGAGCCATGAAATTGGCACATTGGGAGTATAGAACAAAAAAATCTTGAAAAAATAAGAAATATATTATTTATAAACAACTATCCAAGGTCATTTTTTGAACCAATCATAAAGCAAAGGATAAATAAAAAATACTATTCAACTAAATGGAAAAACATAAGTAAAAGAAGAGAAGGTGATATTAAGTATATATAATTACCATATATTCCGGAAATTAACACAAAAATAAAACATATATTTAAACCACATAATATCAACATAGCAGAAAAAACTAAAAACACCTTAGCAAATGAATGTTTCACAAAATTTAAACCTAGAATTGACAAGTTGGACACGCCTAATGTAATTTACAAAATAGACTGTTTGAATTGTGATAACACATACATAGGTCAAACAGAACAATATCTAAAGAAAATAATATACGAACATAAGTATAGCCTAAGAAAAAATAACAAAAATGGTACAGCATTAGCACAGCATGCACAACAGAAGTTGCATAATTTGGATTTTGATAACACAAAAATACTGATTAACGAGAGTAATTATAATAAGAGAAGAGTACATGAAATGATACAGATTAAAAAACATAACAATGCTATGAATTTCAGATCGGATACAGACAATCTTAGCTCAGTATATCATACATTAATTAAATGAAATAAACATAGAATATTAACTAACACCCGGTATATTGAAGAATTTTGCAAACCAAAAATAATATRCTCAGAATGCAAAGAAAAATAGCTGAAAGTAAAAGAAATCAATATAAACAGTATTTTATTCGCTTTGTGTCCAAAATGGACAAAATTAATACTTCAAATGTATGCCGAGGCTTAAAGCAGCAACAACGCTACACATGTAAGTAAAAATATTTAAGTATCTGAACAAAGAATTCTAGTCTTCCCAAATTTGATTGTCCTGACTAATCACCTATTAGGCCTAATTAATTTTAGAATGTTTTAAAGTGTTGCAATTGTGATGTATTTTAATATGTGATATGATGAGGCTGTTAATGAACTGTGATTGTTTTTTAAATTAATGAAATTTTTTTTAACTATCTGTTATTTTAGAAAAACTGATGATAATGGTGGAAAAATACACCGAAACGTATTTTAATTGATAAATAAAGACAATAAATGACTGAAACCCAGGAATTTATTTTTCTTTTTAATTATTTCCTCAGTAATCACATCAGCCGGGCGGCTTGACCACGTTAAAATTCGTTGAATCAATATCTTACGGTGTCATAGATGGTGAAGGGTCCTCATAGACAGCATCTAACTTTATTTTTATTTCTTCGTACTTTTTTTGATCCAAAAATAGTGAAAACAAAAAAAAAACACGAAGCACGTGTGATACAACCAGTTGCCAACAAAAACTAATCTCTGAATCAGTTTAAATTTAGTATGGTGGCGTGTGACAGATGGCAGTACACGACGGTAATGCCAGCTTCCCTCAGCAACGCCACCTGTCTTCACATTACTTATTGATCTACGCTCGTATTTCGATTTTGTGGGTATTTATTTCTATTAGTATCTGTGGGTCTCTTAGTCCACGATCTAATGTTCCTTGCTACTCTTAGTAAAGTATCCTGTCTTTAAGTCAGTCTTTAAGAGGTTCTGTCCTACAGAGGCTCTCTTATCGGTTCCATGAGCATGTTTATTTTTTACCGGGACAGGTCGCTGGCTTCACCTCCGAACCGTCCTCTTTTATCCGGGCTTGGGATCCGTTTGCACTACTATCAAACTATTCAATTCACCCCAACAGCAGTGCAGGCAGAGTTTAGGGAAAAGCACTAGACATTAACAAAGACTTTAGTGCAAAACTTTTTTTGCACACCGTGCGTAAACGAACCGTATTGCTCAAGTGATACATAACAACAACGAACATATGACGTCCTGTAATATACCAGTACGCAAAAAATAGAGTCTAACAAGACGCGTGAAAACATGTGTGTCGGTAGACATTTTTACCACTTTACAATGGGAGACATATTATTAACTAGAATAAATTTGTATTTTACTCCAAAAACCTGTAAAATATACTGTTTATTTCCCTGTTACAAATTTAAAAAATGTTTTTTTTATTATATTTTAAATTATAAAATTTACATTTATCATTATTTGCAGGTTTTTATACATCTGCATGCATCATCCACTTTGTTACTTGCTTGATATACAGATTTATCATTTTCCTATACGAGTTGGGTCACAGTTGTTCAAGATATGGAAATGATAATATCGAAATATTGAAAAGAGCCTTTTACTTTGACTATAAAGTATATTGTCTTGTGACGCCATGTACCTTTCACATGGTATATTACCTATCGAATTATGGTTTACCAACTCTTGAGGACAAGCTCTGGTTCTGCGTGATACCATTTATTTTTCTGTTGCATCGCATTATAGATTTGGTAAGTGGTTTCATGCACAATTCACATCATTGAAGACAAAAGCGATTCTAATTCGTTTAACATTTTCTTTAAGGAAGAATTTCCTATCAAAGACTCATTATGGATTGCAAAACATACTGGATTAGACTACGGTTCTGGAATGGCATACTCGTTTTTTTATGGATATTTAAATTATATGTTAAACAAAATAGGTAAGTAAATTAATACACTTTTCGTTTCCATACAGGGTGTTCGGAGACTACACCGACTAGCGAAGAGAAAACAATCTAGAGACTCATGTCATGAGATTTCATGTCGATTTAACCTAAATCGTTTTCCTCATCCTAATAAAGACATAGTGCCTGTTGCGTAGAGGAGTACCTGAAAACCCACCAAAATCGCTGGATGATGACGATATTATCGAGAATTCCGGAGAATGGCCCGCACTTTAACAATTGTTAAATGTTCAATTTTCATATTCAATAGAAGATCGTACAAGTAAATGGTTACATGAAAAATATTGGGGACGTTGGCCCTCTAACGAATATTCTTTATTTTTATTTGGAGGTTTTCTGGGATGAACTTTTACCAGTGGTCGCGAATAATTTTCTTTTCAACTGGTGGATAAAGGCTTTCATTGTGGCACCTTTCTTCGATTTGCGGTACCACAGTCAGCTATTTTACTCGTTTCTGAAAAAAGCAAATGACTGAAAAATAACATTAGGAAAAGTTCAACATTAATCTGTTTACGTATCACTTGCTGAGGTCCATTCGAATCAAAATTCTCAGAAAAATGGTCCCAGCTTAATCCATACGAAAAGGAAGACCATTATCTTGATTTGGAATGTTCTCTAATTGTTTTTTTCTGTTGGATGGTTTTGGATTGATCCCAGCTAATGTACTGGACAGTTTACCTGCATGAGTTATACATAAATATATATAATTATATAAAGTTGCGCTACATTATCTGAGCGTCATTCTCCCATCTGTTTCATCAGTTATGTTGCATTTATCTAAGCATTTTGCGAAGGTAAATATGTAGCAATGGTATAAGGAGTTTCACCAATTTTATTAATGCCGGTCACTTGATGAAAGCACTTTCGTTTCTTATACTGTATAAAAAATATATCCGTTAATTTTTGTGGTGACCTCAGTGAAATATACTTTTTCGACTGTTTCATAGAAAAGGTCTACGATGATAAATTCTTGAAAATGGTGCGTTTTAGTGCTAAGCACTGATACAATGAATCGATTGCCTTCATCAATGACATTTTTGATTTTGAAATTTGTTTGTTCTTCGCATCGGAGTCCACCACAAATTCCAAATATAAGATTAACCTGAAATATGTACATGTACGTTAAAGTATTTCACATTATCAGAGCTATAAACATCAAAGTTGTTAAAATAATTTAAATAATTTTCTTTGAAGGTAATTAAACTTTTCCGGCTTTTTCTTGATACATTTGTCACTCCATCTCAAAGTTTGCTTTGCAAAGATTGCTTTGGCTTATAACATTTGCTATTAATTTTTGGCCAGGCTTTAAAGTTTACAAATCCAGTAATATCTACATTCTCTTTAGTACTTAAAGCCTTTCTTAACACATGCTCCAAAGAGTTGGCGGCTTTAATTTTTCTTTCAGTTTGGTAAAATACACCACTCAATTTTTTTCTTCTGAGTTTGAAAGTGAATTTTGGGTTTTAATTTTCTCCAGGTATTCCAGATAGTTCTAGAAATCTCCAGAACAGGTGCGAAACTTCCCGCTTGTCAGTGTCATATTTGACACTGACAATACCATGAATTTCGATCCCCCATTCCAAACGTGAGTACCACAGGCCATTTCCGTTACAATATGTTATTATTATAACAAAACGAACAAAACAAACGAACATGATTGAATTCTCTACATGGTGGCCATTACTTTAAACGCACAAAGTAAAGCGTTTGTCTATTGATTGCTCTGAAAATGTTCTTATTGTTCGTCAAATTCAAGTCAAAGTATAATACAATTTGTGTGCAATGCATCGCAAATTAAAATGTAAGGCAAAAAAATGAATTTTGAATTTTTGGATTCACAACAAGTCAGAAAGTTCAATATGAGCAGAAAAAATGGTTTTTGAAAGTCTTAAACTTTTCCAAGAGTTTTATCCTTTCCTTGGATCCTACATATCGCATGTCTCTGGTAACACAGACATGCGATATGTAGTAGATGTAGTATGCAGTGGTGCTAGAGTATCACTATACAGGGTGATTCACAACCTTATGGACACAGAGCAGGGGCGTGTAGAAGACCTCAAAACAAGTCGAGTTGGCATTTAAGTTTTTTTCTCAGGCTCATGGTTAACTCCTACAGTTTATAAGACACTTTGCTGCATTTTTTAAGGTAGGTTACTGTTTAGACCCTTTACTCGTAGGCAAGCCAATTGGTTGCGAAAATCTACAAGGTGTTTTTCCTTAGAGGCGCGCACCCCATTTACCCCTCGAACTTTTTTGTGGTTGAACTGACTTCGACCGAAACAATTTTTGAATTTGTTGTTCAATTTTTTTTTTATCCCTCTACAGTTTTTTCGTATCTGCCTTCGTTTTTGAGTTATTTGCACAAGCATGAGTCACATATAGGGTTTATGAGCGATTTTCTATGATTGTTTTTATACATTTTTGATACAATTCATACCCCCCTTTTACCGCCCGAACTTTTTTATGGTGCGCCCCTGACTTCGACCGAACATATTTTTGAATTTGTTGTCCATATTAAGAATTTTTTTACTCTCTTTAATTTTTTTGGTATCTGCCTTTGTTTTCGAGTTATTTATCTTATCATAGTAGGCTGTTCTACTTTTTGCTGGATATTTGTTTGTCAATTATGACGTCTCGTAAATAACACGCATCAGTTTCTTTGTGTACCTAAGGGTTTTTTTCGTAAAACCAAGCTGTTTATAATAAAATGGATGGAAATTTTTCATTCAATGAACGAGTTAATATGCTATTAGTATTCGGGTTTTGTGAGGGAACTGCCGAAGAAGTGTGTTGGAGTACCGAAGAAGATTTCCAAATCGACAAATGTTTGCTAATGTTCTTTGCCAACGCAATAACGCATTTGCGTTGTGAACGCAAGAAATGAGGAGCACATTTTACGCCACATTGGAAATGAACCCGATACCAGTACTCGAAGAATATCCAGGCAATTTAATATGAAACAGTCCACGGTCCATCGAATTATATGACGTAATAAGCTGCATACATATGTTCAAGAACTGTTACCGCAAGACCTAGAGCCGAGGATGATTTTTGTAATTTAATTTTAAATCAGAACGTTTGTTTTCAGAGAACTATCATTTTCACTGATGAAGCCTGCTTTACGGGGAGGGGAATCACAAATCTACAGAAAAGCCATGAATATTCTGATCAAAATCCACATATTACTATAATATTTAAAATTCATGTGTGGGCCGGAATCGTTCGACGATATTTGGTTGGTCCAGTTATTTAACCTAATCTTTTGAACGGTTTGAATTTGCGTTTCGTACAAAACAATCCAAAACTTCTAGAAGATTTGCCTTTACAATTGCTACTTGTCATGTGGTATATGGACGATGGGTGCGCCTCCCCATTTATCTATGAACGTTCGTGAATGTTTGAACAGTTTCGAAATCGATGGATAGGTCGCGGAAATAATTGTCCTCAACGCTGCTCACCGCGATTGCCAGATTTGAACTATTATTTTTTTCTGTGGGGAACTTTAAAATAATTTGTATATTCAACGCTTGTTGAAACTACATAACATTTATGGAATCGTATTAGTAATAAATTTACCATTAGAAATAATTACATTCAATTGTTGGATACAGTTGACTTTAATTTTCAGCGATTGGTCCATTTATACTTAAGAGAAAACGGTGGCCATTTTGAACCGCACGTTTGATTTATTAACTTAAAATTAAATAATTTAAATTTATTTAATTTTGTGAAATTAATTTCATAATAAATTGAAATATTGGTTAAATTTTTCTGAATTTTTATTTGAATTAGCTTACAGCCGATACACCTCAATTATTGAAAATTAAATTAAAGTAAAAAAAATACTTTAAAAGTTAACTCGTCAACCATCCCTATTTTAACTTCAACTTGTCCTTCAACTCATAGAAAATAACCCAAAAACAATTTGCTGTGCAAATAACTCGAAAATGAAGGTAGATACGAAAAAACTGCAAGATAAAAAAATGTCTTAAATTGAACAACAAATGTAAACAAATGTGACCGAACACATTGTTCGGTCGAAGTTAGTGGCGCACCACAAAAAAGTTCGGGAAAAAAACACCCTGTAGAGTTTCGCAGCCAGTTGGCTTCCCTACGGGTAAAGTCTAACAGTAGCGTACGTTCAAAATTTCATCAAAATATCCCATAAACTGTAGGAGCTATAGAGAAAATACCAATGTATCTCGTTAACCATGGGCCTGAGAAAAATACTTAAATGGCAGCTCAGCTTGTTCTGAGGTCCTCTACACACCCCTGCTGTGTACTGGTTATAAGATTGTGAATGACCCTGTATGTAACACAACCAGGGTTTGATCATTCCAAATCAAGTAAAAAAAATCTTATTTTCTTCCTATTGTTTCTATTCCAGTTTCTTCCTGTTGTGTTATTATAGAGTAATTGTTTATCTATTCTTAGAAATAATTTTTGGTTAAGACGATTGAGTTAAAATCGACAAGAAACAATCTCTTGATCTTGCTGTTTTAGTTTGTTTAGTTGACGAACAACCTGTAGACAAAAGCGTAATTTTAATGTTCAGCTTTTTCTTCTTAGTTAACAGGCTACAGGTTTAATGCAATATACAAAACAATGCAAACGTTTTCTTTTTAATGCAACCACATTGGTGCACAATTTTATTCAAATCGTTTCCAGACTTGTATCAAAACGTTCTTCGAACATAGATGCTGATAAACATGATAATTTTAACAGCTGCTGAATGATAAATTGTTATTCTGGTGCTCGAAGAATTATCATGTCCATTGTACAGGGCGGTATTATTATGTCCATTGTACAAAGTACCCAGTACAATTCATGTATAATTGTGCCACTTCAGTGGCGTCACATTTCTATGATCGATTTTTTTAGGGGATCCGGGTAAAAATCTTCATGATATGATGAAAGAGTACGAATCGGCAAATCGAGTTCGTTTTGCAGTTTATAAAATTTTCATCCTAATACCCAAGTCTTTGACATGTTTTGAAAGTGTTAAGAATGGTTCTACGTTGATGGAAATGCGAAGTGTAAATATGTTTTAGTTGATATAAAGCCTGACGCAGATTTAATGTTGCAAGCTTTATTTTGCAATACTCTGTAGAGAGCAGAAAAAATGTTCAACTGGTGTTGGCCACAATGCCCTTTATTTGTTTTTTTAAGTAGAACACTCTTTCTTGATATCGGCAATGTTGTTACAATTCCGGACAACTATTTTTCACAATCGGTTAAATTTTTTACTGGGAGTAGGTGCTTTACTTTAAAAGTATTGACATTTTTTTGGACTTTAAATTTCTACTATTTACAATCTGTAAAGAACAATAAGTCAATTTGATAAATTTAAAAAATTACATAAGAAATGCATGAAATGATTTAACATTATAAATCTCATGTGTAATCCTCGTTGAAAGCTGTTAAACGGAAACAGATGGTACTACAACGGCAAAAACGAGCAGGCATCTGGATCAAGTGAAACGGTCTGGCAGATCTGGGATCTGGTTTAAATCTTTTCAGTCTTCTTGTGATATTGGTGCTGAGTGGTTCCTTGGCTAGAATATTTGGGTGTTCTTTTGTGCGATCCTGGAATTTGATTGAAAACCTGACAATTTCTTCGCGGACCCATAGGACGTATGGGTCTTCGAAGGCATCGTCGTGTGTTGACTGGAATTTTTATAGTACTTAGATGTTTGAGCTACTGGCTGTACCCCACAGCCAAATGCCGAACGTCCTATAGGCTTGAGAATGACTTTGTATAAAAGTACTCGGTTGTGTATACTTAGTTGCGATTTACGATTTGTCAGCCAGTACATCTTCTTGAACCTTAAATTTAGTTCTTTGCGCTTGATTTGAATGTGCCTTTTTCCATGTGAGACGTTTGGCGATATGTATTGGGATTCAATATAATGTAACTAGCGGGCAGTCGCCTTTTCTACGGAAGGGATTACATTTTTTTATTTTATTTCATTAACTACAATTCTCCACTCAGAGAGCCTTCAATTTGATGTAGCAGGGTTTGCATTGCTGCTAAAGCTTGGACAGAATTTTCATGTGTGTCATGAGCTGAATGTTGAAATCTGCAGGTATGTCATCAGTGAACAAGTTGTAGAGTGTTGGCCCAAGAACTGAGCCGTGCGGGACTTCTGCCTTTATATTTCGCAACTCAGATGATGATTTGAGTAGGACGAAAAACTTTGGTAAGTCAGTTTTTATTTTAAGCAGATGTCCTGAATACCAGACAGGGTCGAAAGCTGGTGTCACGTCTAGAAACACCCCACAGCCATATAGTTTATTCTCTAGACGCTTGGATATTTGGCTAGTAAATCTGTGAATCTGCTCAATATTGAGTGTTTGTTTCGAAAACCAAATTGGTGGTTTGGAATCAGACCGTTTTTGGGAATTGTTCGATTTAGGCTTCAAAGACTTTGGATGCAAGAACAGAGGTGGCGGCGTGTAGAAAGAGTGGACGGTATTTTTTTTGCTTTCTTATGCGCGGTCCGCGATTCGAAACGGCAATACCTAACACCGACTTAATCTTGTAAACTACCCAACCGACGAATAAAACTCAAATGTCGACAACTGAAAATTACAATATGTATTTCTTGACTTTTTACAATCGATGACCTCATATTAAGAAATTTTAACGAATGCATCACTACGAACAAAATACCCAAGTCATGGAAGACCGGAATAATAATCCCTATTTTAAAGAATCGACTAGATAACGCACTCACAAAAAACTACAGAGCCATAACGCAACTCCCGGTGTTGAGCAAATTGTTTGGACACATAATAAAAACATGTTTATTGTGTGTAGTCGGTGAGAAATTTGAAAATATTTTCAATTACATTTCAAAAACTATACCTACATTATGTTACATGTTTATATGCGGCATTTATTTGAAAACCCATCTTGTGTTTGTTCTAATAATCACTTTTGTTTGACTAAACATGTCATATTTCGAAAATGTTCTTTTTGCTCTCTGCAGAGGTTGTCAAAATACTGTGTGTAATTGTGAGCATGGTATATCCTGTGTAGAAATTATCAAAATACTTAATATATGATTTTAGACACTACTGGAGAAAAAAATTACCATTGCTGGAATTAGAGAACGAATTTATAAACATGCAGTATATAGCATCAAACCTGATCCCGAACTAGATGGGCATGTTTATGTGTGTTGCGAATTTGCTACCCCTTTAAAAACATTTAAAGAAGTATTGGAACGTAGCACACCACATACAGGTAAACGTAATATATCCGACCTAAACAAAACAAGTCCAAATCATTGACTGCTTTGTATGAACGTAATTCGAAAACACATTGAACATAATAATCAACCAACTTTTTATTGCTATTATTGCTAATTGGTTTCTTTTTTGGAGAGCTTCTTTAAGTTCTGCTAAAAGAAAAGCATTTGGTTTATTTTACCGAACTCTGTATTACTAGTTATACAGTTTGGTGCACGTGAATTTTATGACTCATGGGGTCAGAAATTAAGGCGTTGTTGGTGAACAATCGGTTTAAGTTCAGGACTTGAGACACAATGCATTTGTGGAAGATGGTATCTTTTTATCGAATGCATATTGAGATTCGTTTGCTCGTTGCATTCGTTGCTTTAGTTGTAACTGGCTGGCGTTTGCCACAAAATAATTATATTTTTATATGGCAGTTTTCATTAAACTATTGTCAGTTCAAGAACTTACTGAGACGTACCCGAGCCACCCATTTTATTTCGCAGCATTCACATTACTCAATTTAGATAATGTTGCAAGTTGATATTCCAATATAATGAATATCTGAAAATTATTTATTTTGTTTTAAATATTTTTAATTATCTCCGATACTGTCTTAAATGAACAGCCTTAAATGTATTATTAGACTGAATTAGTCTAATAATATACCTACTTCTACTGAATTGCTATCAGGCTTTGATCACGACAGAAAAGAACTATATTTTGATCCCAGAATATGGTTTAAATATGGTCGAAACGTTGGCCCAAAAACTAGTGTATTTTTTACCGCTATCAATGGGAAAGTTGAACATTTTTTTTTCTTTAATATATTTGTCTATCTATAGAAATCGCACATATTAAATATCTGCCCTCAAATCGCAATATTTAAGTTGCAATAAACAATTAAAGTTGTGATCGCAAGCTATTCATTTGAAACGACACAAAACGCGCGGGAATGGTCGTGACGTCATATCGCTGGTCGTTCGATCGAAAAGCTTGTCGTTGAATTGTCTGGGTGTTTGAATGTTCAGAATTTGTGGTCTGTTTTATTATAATGGAAGGAACACAAAAACAATATTACAAATGCTGTATGGTGCCACTGTGTCCTAGTACAACTTTTAAAATGCCATAAGAGCTATTTATTCGGGTACCACGAGATAAAAGCCGGCGTTTAAAATGGTTAAAGGGTAAAGGTATGCAAGGATATTTCTGAGAAGACTACTGCCCATGTATGTTAAGATCATTTTAATGTAAGTATAAAAAACAAATTTGATTCTGTCTATTGTATAACAGACATATATTTTGAATTTGTATTTTGTTTGCTTCTCGGCTGCATTATAGTAGTAAATAATCACCTCAAAAATAGTTAATTGTCTACACTAGACGATAAAAAGAAACAATAACTATCAGCGAAGGAAAAATCTCGTTTGATCGTCGTGCATTTACGTTAAATACCTACTATTTGTCATGCAATATGAATATTAACACATATTTTTATGTAACTTTAATATCATTTATTTATTCTAGCTGGAAGAAGATATGGAGAACTATGTTAAATTCAAGTTAATGGGAGGTCTGAAAAAAATGAAGGCTATTGTACTTGTAACTTGCACCCATCCTACCGCTAAACCACCCATAAATTTATAAATATAAAAGTAAACCTATTGACTATTTTGTCTATAAATCTACCTGTTAGCTTTAACACCGCGAACTTCAGAAAGAGTAAAACTTTCGGTGTTTTTAATGTAAGATGCCACCATAAACATATCCACTAGTGGTAAAATGTCAGATTGTCCTTTTACAAAACCTGTCATTTTGAAAAATTTTCTTTTTCTCCTAATATACTATACAGGGTGATTCAAAATTGGCGTCATTCCTCTGGAGGTGTTGTCTGGCGCTGTTATAGGAGTACAGAAAAAATAGTAAAAGTAATTAATTGTTGTTAAAAACTGAGAAATTTGCAAAAAGCTATGTCAGAAATATGGCAGCAATGTTTTTCAAGGTAATCTGCCTAATTAACATTGCGCAAATACCTGTTGCTTCGTAATTATTTAAAACTCCGGTAACC